GTCTTGTGGTTAGGTCCTTAATCTTTGATTATGTCAACGTCACTCTATCAGGGTGTCCACGGCATCGTTGGGGTTAAGCCACTTAGCCATGGAGGCAAGTGAATGCGCAACAAGGGATCTCTAACCTTCAAACTGTTTGAGGGAGAATACTCTATGATATGATTTAGAATCTCTGGCCAGAGTATGAATGAGATGTTGGAATGCGTTCCAGATCACATTCAAGGTAATCATATAAGTACAAGATTCACATTGGATAGTAGACATGAATAAACTATCAAACCAAACAATGTGGTCAAGAGTATTGTATTAGAGAAAGACCGTATTGCATTTGTAATCCTAAACTGAATAGGTTCTCCACCTCTTCTGATTAGCTTGGGTAACCATGATATGCTGCTAGGTGTCACTCATGGTTTGTGGAAGCCCTAAAAGTGTATTATCACTAACGGGAGAATTGAAAGTAAGTTTCAATTCACAATCGATTTGAAAGAGTTTGAATCGCCCACTGCCTCGCTAAAAGGAACCTAATGGATCGTACACCGTGTAAGGTAGAGTTTGAAGATTCAACGGAGATGAGTAAGAATAATTAAATGGTTTAATTATTTATGGCAAGGATTAATTAATATGTTAATTAATCAAACGAATAAGTTCGTTAAAGACCTCGGGTTAGTTTTGGGCCGCAAGGCCCAATGGGATTTGAATGTCAAGCCCATTAACTCAAGTTGTATGACAACTTGAATAAAACAAAGGGCTTGAAAGCCCAATAAACCTATAGGCTAGCCATGTGTAAAAGAATAGGGCTTTTGGTCCATTAGGTCACTTATTTGAAGGGACTATATAAAGGACTTTATAGCCTAAAATTTACTAAGGGTTATTTTTGGGGAAATGATGAGAACACAAGCTCTCCTTTCTCTCAAAAATTTTGGCCAATCTAGAGGGGAATAGCTAGCAATCTTACTTCCTCTAGGTCACTCATTTCTTCTACAATATACCTTGGTGTGGAGACTTAGAGGTTCTCAATTTTGGGAACTTGGAGAAACCTTTTCATCCATCTAAATCCATGGATCCAAGATGCAAGGAATGAAGGCCCTCTCTTTGGGTGATTAGCCTTTGCTTATGCAAAGAGGAATCTACAAAGGTATTGATTTCTCAACTCACTTTGTTTTGAGTTGAGTCTTGGTTCACCTATCTACTAGGCTTTGAATTTCATGGGTAAATGTTTTGTTTTAAGTGCATACAAGCATGATTCTGCCTTTAATTGTTAATTGCATGCTATTGATGTTGCTTAAATGAACATATTTTTCACAAATCTTCCTTCATGTTCAAGGTACTACACAGTGTGGATTGACATATTCAGTAGCATCTGACAACTTTATCACAGCTTTCTCGAATTTAGATTGGGCTGCTAATCCAAACACAAAGCGATTTGTTACAAGTTTTGTGGTATATATGGGGTTAAATCCAATCTTATAGCAATCTAAGAAAAAATCCTCAATTTCTAGAAGTTCCAAGGAAGCAGAATACAAAGCCCTTGCTCAATGTATATAAGATGTAGTATGGATTTGATTACTTTTAAAAGACTTACATCAGTTTATTTTAGAACCACCTCTACTTCATTATGACAACCTATCAGCTCTAGCATTATGTTCTAATCTTGTATTTCACACTCGTATCAAACATTTGGATACGCATTTTCACTTCATCGAAGAGAAAGTTCAAAAGAAGTATTTGGTGGTGCAGTATATCTCCACTGAAGATCAAACTGCTGACATCCTCACTAAGGGTTTACATGGACCAACATTTGTCAAACATTGCTACATCGACAATATGGCTCGAAATACCAAATGTAAGACCATCTCCAACCGGTGCTTCAAATTGCCAAATGAATGTGTAGTAGTAAAAAAAATAACATCTAATTTCATTCCAATCCATTAGCCAAAAGTTGATGTTAAAGGAAGGCTTGCTGAGAGGCGTCAAAAGTCAGCCTCAAAATTCATATGCCAAATAATTATTTTAGTTTTTTTTTTATTTTTTTTACTTTTGGACTAGCCTTGCATTAATGCTTGGTATAAGTGTAGCTATATATATATTTCTTTTAGTATTTATTATGACTGTAATTAATATATTAAAATACAAAATAATATATTACACATTGGTAGTAACATGATGTCAAACTGCCATATAGATCATCAAATTAAAATTTGGTGTTCAATATTTCACATTTGCTTTGACGATGTTCTAATAATACAATTGGTTAAAAACTTTAAAAAAAATTATAACCAATTGTATTATGACACTTAATATACTAAGCTGTATTTCCAGTAGGGCGTTTTAGGAAGATCCTGAGTCACATCAAATCCTTTGACCATCATTCCACATAAGAAAAACTTTCAATTCCAATGGCGATGAGTTAGATGATATTATCGGCTACAAATTTCCTATTTTTTTTGTGCCAAATCATATTCGTACGAATAAACTCAGCTGCAATTTCTGTTTTGTGGTTATGTTTTCATGTGACTTAAAAATTACAATGAAGTTTCTGTTTTGTGGTTATGTTTTCCTGGAGGATTGACCATACTTAGGTGCTTACTGGAGAATACTCAATTTTCTGATTATTTTATATGACCCACTACAATTTGACCACATGTCAAACTCATTTCACCAAAAACTTTTACTATGTTTATAACCAAACACCACCCATCTTCTTCCTCCCTTCTTGCAAACAAGCCTTTTCCCCCTTCTCCGGCGATCCCGACCTTCACTTCCCTGGTCCAGTGAGCCCACTCTCAAATCCCTCACTTTCCGTGAGCCCACCCCCAATTCTTGTGTTCGCCGGCGAGTCCACCATCAACCCTCATTTTGACGACGACCCCACCTAGTCCTTTTCAACAATGATCCCACTCCAATCCTTTCCGATGGGGTTGGTGTTGGGGGTATACAAAGAAGAGAAAAGGCTTGAGGTTAGAGATAGGCAAATACCCATTGGTTATGGGTAACCGCGGTTACCCGTCCATTTAAATTAAACGGTTACGGTTATGGGTAACCATTTAGATAAATAAACGGTTATGGGTATAACCGTTTACCCACGAAATTTAAATGGATGGTTATGGGTATTAACTGCGATTATAAACGGGTAACCGTTTACCTATTTATTTTATATATGTAAAATTAACACAAACCGTGTTCTCGATCCAATAATACTTAGCACCCAATAAATTAGCAAGGAATTCATCGGTCCTCTCAATAACACTGCTACAGGAATGATGATTCTCATCATCAAGGAATTCGCCAAATTAATTTAAATTCCTTGCGGGTAACCATGAAATTGACAGAAATGCTTTGACAGAAATGTCTTCTAAACAATTTTTTGTAACCCAATAATACTTACCAAATATTATATTTACCTTCATTGGTAACAGTTAAAAATATTATCCTTAAACTATTCTTTCAATTATTGGAATGATATAAGGACTTAAAAAATTAAAATACGAAAATGTATGATGAATGTACTTATAACGGTGTTTAATTGTTAAAAAAAAAGAAAATTATGACAATTTTTTATTTAATTTTTAAGTTTTTAAAAAACATGTAGACGGGCAAAAAATGGGTAATGGTTAAAAATAAAAAAAATTAAAAAAAAAAGATAAACGGGTTAAAAAGGATAAATGGGTAAACAGCTATTAAACGATTACGGTTAAATAGGTATGGTTAACCGTTTATAAACAGTTATGGGTATGGGTATAACTGTTTAGGCAATTACCCAATGGATAAACGGTTATGCGGGTATGAGCATAAACAGTTATGGGTAAATAATCGCGGTTACCCGTCCGCCATAACCGTTGCCCATCCCTACTTGAGGTGAGTAGAAGAAGATAGGAGTATGGTTACAAGGGTAACAAATGGTTGGGGAGTTTTAGATTAGACAAGTGGACTATTCTTATTCGGTCACATTGTAAATTCAGTAAATTGGGTACTCCCAGTGAGCACCCAACTATTGTCCCCTTCTAATTATGACAAATTAGGAGGGAAGGGAGCCAATTGTAATGGCAAATTTTCTAGTTTCTATTTAAGTGCATTAATGTACCACAATGCATAATCGATTGACTTATAATTAGCAAAAACATTATTGATATCTTCTTGTTATTATCCAAATATAAATAAAACTAACTCGCATAGCTTGCGGAGTTTTACTATTTGGAATGCGTAATGTTGAGGGTTAAGCACATTTCACACCTTCAAGGTTTAGTTTAAAATGGGCCACTAAATTTCAATTTTATAACATCACATCCAGATCTTTTGAAATTCGACCAATTTACACATGCCGTTATATGGACCGTGAGGTCAACAATTAAGTGATTACGTGACCCATTTCCAAACTGAACGCCAAATCCTGAAGGTGTGAAATGTACTTAACCCTAATGTTTATCTCTCATTTCATAGCCTTCATCAGTCTAGACTGTTCTTGTCAAAGTTAGACTTATGCCTTTATAAAAGGAAATGATACATACACATTCATGTCCTACATGTTCGCTTCCTATTGTTGTTTTTAGGAACTTAATGGTTATTTTTAGGACAACTAGATTAAATGATCAATCTTTTACATTTGATTGGAGAAATGGTTTGTTTTTTAACAAACAATATCATTTATACTAAAGAAGAGGAAGTGGATTTAGAATCATAATGAGCTAGTAATAATATAACCTAAATTCGCATTTGATGAGAATCGAACTTAAAAGCTCTCACTTACAAGTGAAAAAAAAAAATTACTAAACCACAGCATTAAGTGACAAGTGATCAGTTTTTATATACCATTTTATATCATCAATGTGTCATCAATATGTGATTCCAAAAACGGATCATTTTTGTAACCATGTCAAAAACTCCAACATTCCTGCTAATTTTGCCCAAATTTTTCTCTTGATTCTCAATTAATTTTTCTTTCCAAAGCATATAATAAAACAATATTCTTACAAAAGAGAAAATTTGAAACAGAACAAAAGAAAGAAAAAAACTGAAAAATAATATAAATATTTAAAAAAAAAACAAATAAAAAAAAACACAGGCGCCCTCATGCAGTGTGCACTTCTGTTGTTGTGCACTTCCAGACTACTATGAGTTGTAACAGTGTCATCATATACAACAACAACAATCCATATGAGAAGCGCGAAAAGATGAAAAAAGAATTACCAACTACACTTTCTATTTCTTGCCATAATTTCTCTCCACTATTCACATGCTAATTTGGTGTCGAAGCTGCTCAAGCAGATCGCAAAAGCCTGAAACGCAGACAACGGATACCGGTAATCCATGGTAAACATATCCTTGCCAACTTTACCAAACTGAAGTATGACCTTGTCATGGTCAGACGAGGTTGGCTGTGGTGGTTGAGATGGCGTTGGTGCGCCAGCAGAAGGTGGTGCGGCCGCTATTAGCTGAAAGTTTTTGACAGAGGCAACTGTCACCCTTCCCCGGAAGTTTAAGCACCAACACTGCAACTGTTCATGCCACCTTGGTGCCTTGTTCCGAAGAATTAATGGTCTTTCCTTTCCATCTTCGCAATGGGCCCCAACTACATCAGAGAATCGTGCACTGCTAAACTCACTTGAATCAACAATTGATTTTGAGAAGGAAATGCTTCGGAATGAGTCCTCAAGGGAGCGTTGGAGAATCTCAGGCTGGCCAGGGACAATGCCACCAGGTTCAAGGGATGCTGCAGGGATTGAGTGCATGGTGCAGTGCATCCTTCGTGGCCCCCGTGTGCCAAGCACATTTAACTCATACGACACCTGTGCGATGTTGTAGCTGCCAGTGGGGAGCTTGGGAGATACCTTTTTAGAGTAGAACCGACGGCTTCGCCCAGGTGGGGAAAGCTGAGCACTGTTGTAGGGAGGTTGGGTATCATAAATAATAAATTTGGTGCCTAGAAAATTAGACCTGAAAAATGTGGGAAAAGGGGAATGGCAGATAAACGTTAATCTAAAGTCTCTAAACCATATGTAATCAAAATTCCAGGGAGAGGAGAATAAGGACTTTTATATGTCACATATCAGTAAACTGATTTGTTTTTCAATGTTACTAACTGCTAAAAATTCAAGAAACATGTCTACCAAATAATTATAAATTGAAAAAAATATGAACTTACAAAGCACCAATTGTGGACGGCACGCAAAGCAGCAAAGACTATTCAAATGAGTGACACTTAAATGTGAAGTTGATGCATTACTAAATACTAATTAAATGGCCTGAAATAAGTGGGCTGGAATTGAAGGTGTATAGAGAACAGCAAATATATGGGATAGAACTTTTACTTAGAATTGTCAAACATGTGATTTTGCCCCCTAATATAAACAAGTTGATACTCGCTATTAAATTCCTACAAGCGAAGCACATTCATATCTTTTTAGTAAATAGAAGACAATCTTACAAGTTCCTTGCCCCAAAACACTTGATAGCAAGAAAACCCGTGCGATTTACTCAAAACTATACTCAGAATGCACTAACTTAAGTATCATTCATGTTGAAATCTCATTTAAATTTTAAGGTATAGCAATGAAATCATAATGCAACCAAAGAAGCAGATATAGCAAGACGATTTCAATAAGAAAAAAGAACTGCTAATTATAAAGATCAACAGTTAACCATCTTAAAACTCTTTTTCATGTATATAATTCACATAAAACATATTTCTTACATAGTCGCTTACTGCAAACCAAAGCATAGGAACAATATTGAATCACATTGATGAACCCCCATATTAATTCTTTATCAATGAGGCAACAGGTGAAAAAGAAAATAAATTAATTTAATCCAGACTAGATCCCTCAAATGTGCGCAATGATTTTCCCAGTTCCAATTTCACACCAAAGTTTAAAAAATTGTTTGCACAATGACGTTTTCCTTTTTTGGGTATTAAGAATGACACATCTTTTAAGTTTTGAAGTCGTGTACATTATTGTTTTTTTTTAGAGTTGCTTATAAATGAATTTCAGCACAGATACAAACAGCTCAAAAGAAAGTTGGAAGAAAGCCCACCTCAATTTCCCAATGTACTTGTTGCTTGATCTTGAAATATTATCAGCATCCATGGAGATCACATACTCTGTGCAAGTAGTTCTCCGCGTTCGCTTTGCAGAAAGAAGAAATTTCCCATTTTCAACAAGCAAAGCTGCAAGGGCATGGCATTGATCAAGAGAACAGCCTAAAATAAATGCGAACGCACTAAAGCAATCAAGGAAAGATGTTCAAGGTCGAGTTATGCTATTCAACCCTTGCTGATAAAGTTTTTGTTACATAAACCCTTTATGTAGCTGTGGCAAGTAGGGTAAGGGCAGCAGGTTTACATTGAAAAGAAACAACACAAAGGGAGAAGTAAATAATTCTTATTGCTGTATAAAGTGGGATAAGTGCACTGTATGTAATATTCATACGGCAATGGTCAACCACTTAGCATTCACATAAGCTTCAGCCTTGCACATGCTATTAAGCTCAATGACAAGAACATGTCTTGATACAGGACAGTGTGACTGACATAACCAAGTTCGAAGTTAGAAGTTAGAACTAGTGAGGTATCACCAGACCTCGCCAGATGCACAAGTAAATGACTTGCAAGAGCAGATTATAATAAAAATACACAGCAGGAGAAGAGATGCTAGTAATTTATAAAACCCTGCCCACTACAATATTTATACCATGATGGCAATGCATAACCAAAAGATATTCACTAGACTATATACAGAAAGTTTGGAGTTGCTCATCCAACCAACCACAGAACATGAAATGTCAAATTGAGTGTGGTACAATACATGTGCCAACAAAACCATCTAAAGAGAATCTTACCAGGGCTAAGGCAAAGGAAAAGGTGGTAAGTTAAATTAGACTTGTCCCTCTTGATAAAGCACTGGATGGTTCCATCCCGAGATCCTGGCTGCAAAAGGCAGAAATTTCAACAATGTGTCAGCTACCAGATATCATAAATACCATCTTTCTTTTTAGGAAGGCATAAACATCGTACTTCAAAACTTTCTTTTTAGGAAGGCATAAACATCATACTTCAAAATAAAGCATCTAGGTGGATAAACACTGATGCAAATAACTAAAACAGAAACACCACAGTAACTACATTAAACAAAAAATATTTGGGCATTGTTGTCTTTATCAACAAAGTCTATCATGTAAGAAAGAACATAATGTGAACCTCTCACCTGCTTCAAGGCCACTGGGAAGGTAATCTTCCCACAAAATTCAGGACTTCTGACGATTTCCTTGCACATTTCCCTCCATGATCTGCACACAGCAGCACAAGCAACAACATGCTTGCGAGAAGGCCACGTGCTCTCACTAGCCTCCAATCTTTTTATTACATCACGCAGCAGTTCGGGAGGTAGGCTAGCCCAACAGCTATTTTGGATTACCAAAGGTTGGTCATGTACCTCATGGACCGAACCATGAGATTTCCCCCTGTGATGACCAGGCAGCCTCACCTCAAAACTTCGTCTTGATAAACTTCCAAACCCATCCCTTACATCGCGCACTATACTGCGGAATGACATTTACTCCGACGTGCCAACAGACCCAGATGTTAAGTATATTCCACTTCAAGTTGGGCTGGCCCCAAAATTATAAGTGCAGGTTCAGCTGCATATTAATCAAACTTGATTTAAATTCCTGCTGGAATGCTTAACAAAGAAAGCAATAAAAGGAAGAAGACTGACCGAGAAAAGCACAAAGGAAGAAAAGGAGATTCTCACACATGGACTTAAAGCAGCCTAAAGTATCAGACTTTAATCAGTTACATCTTTTGGCGGGTTTTAAAGCTGATCTTCCACAAACCAAACTACAACTAACTCAAGATCAAAATACCTATTTGTAATTTGTAAGTGTTAACCAAATGAAAAAAACCTCAGAAAACAAAACCCAGATTACCAAATATAAACCCAAATGATAGATGTAATCTGAATAAAAAGAAAAGGAGTTCTAAATTTATGTTCACCTAGAAGTTAAACTCAAATCCTTCACCCTGTATAATAATATATCTAAACATATAGAGAGAGAGCAAACCCTAAAACCACCAAAGTAGAATTCCAAAGACTTGAGTGTGATAGCGTGGCACTGATCAAAGATACATTGCTTCACAACTAAGGCTTTCAGAGATCAGTGAACAACTTGCAAGCATGAAACCTTCTAGAAGAGGTCCTGCAAATAGAAATACTACAATATTAGAAACCAGGAAAAAAAATTAACCATTTTAGCTTACAAAACCCCAAAAATTGAAGGCAAAAACCATCCAAACATGTTTTTTTTTTTTTCTGGTTTTCCATTTACTGAAATAAAAAAAAATGATGATGCAAAGCCAGAAGAAGCAACAAAAATTATTATGAAAAATATACAAAAATTTCATGAAAAATAAACAAAATGGAGCAGAAAGCACTTCAAAATGTGGAGCTGCAAAACCCTTGGATTAAAAAATGAAAATTTAGATGTTATCCATAAGAGATTTACAACCCACCAACTGAACAAAACCCACATAAACGTTTCAAAGAATTAGACTTTCTAAGACCCTTTTAGAGCAACAAAGAAAAAACCCAGAAAACTTTACCTTGCAAATGCAACAACCAGAGAAATGAAACCAGGTGGGCCTGCAAATTTTCCCAAGAAACAAACAGAAAAAAAAAGGTCCAGTATCCTAAACAAACATCTGAGACAAGTGATATGATTCAGTACTTCTAAAAGCTGCGATCCAAACACCAGAGAATCAGAACGAGCTCACCATCTTCTACTATCCCTCCCTCTCTCTGTGAGGTGGTCCGGACTTGAACTCTTTATTCAATCGAGTTCACCTACTATATAGCTTTATTAACTTAATCCAATTTGTTTAATGTTTTTTTATTTTTTTTTGTCTGAATTTATTTAATTAACCCCCACTTGATAGAATGACCATTATGCCTCTAACGGTTGACTTTTTTTCGTTACGCGACCAACGGCGTATACCACGAGATTCAGACGCAATACGCTTGCATCACCTTCGGCGTCCTTTAGCAGCGACCGAGTAAGATTTTGTTTAGAAGTGTTTTTAAAATGATTAAAAATATTTTTAGAAAAATCATTAATAAAAATGCAAATAAATTCTGAAAAAATACTTAAAGTACTTGCTAGAAGAAGCATATAACTGGTGCTTCCTACAAAAAGTATTTTCAATCATTTTAAAAACACATCCAAACGAGTTAATCATCTCTATATACTCTTTATAGGGATTCGAAAGATCAATTAATTGTGTCTGTTCATTGTACTCGTATAGTTAGAAATTATTTTAAAATTTTAATTTAAAATTAAATATAAATAATAATTAACAAAAACTGATTTGCATAATATACGATAAACGAAGATGATTAATTAATCTCCAGATTTCCACATATAGGAACCGGTATCCTTGTCTAGCAGCGACCGCTTACGACTACGCTTGCTTCTGATTTTCTGAGGATGTAATACAGTGCTTATTGGTGTGCTTTATTACCTTGTGGACGCAATGGAAGTGTCCATCTCGACCGTGGATGTTGTTGAAAAAGGTCTGGATAAGACGGTGTGTGCAAGTGGGGAAAGATTATGAGATGAGGCACGCTGTCATGATGGAAGGCCTGTTGGATAGTGAAATGACTTTGGTACCCCTGTTGGGCTATGGTATGACGAGGTTGTCCCTTGTGGTTGGGACTCTACTTACTGGGATGCTGCAGCTCCTGCCACGTGTGTAGTAAGTAGATTTGTTTGGTGTTTTGCCTGGATTTGTTTGGTGTTTTGACCAAAATTAAAAACAACTTTATTAAGATATAAGTTGTTGACAAAATTTCTAATGCAGTTGGATGTGTCAATTTTGTGTACGAGCATCCAATTGGGTAGGTAATTGAGTAAGCAAACTTGTTTTTATGAGCTACGTAAAAAAATTTTGCTCCTGTTGAGGAGGCAAATTTTGCATGCTCTTTCGAAATAGATAATATTATATATTTCAAAGTGAACGAGAACAACTTGTATAATAAAGTTTACCATTACGCATTTTATATCAATAAGCACATTATTAAAATGGAACGACACGTGTAGTATTAGTATACAAATGCTTCTCTAAAATGAATGGACAAATGGGACTCCACATCTCTTTTACACTAAAATACTCTCTGTGTTATAAAAGGGTTAAAGTTTGAGAGATAACCTTTTAAGTGGTAGGTGCAAGGTAGATGTAAAATGCCACACAAAAACTATAGCACAGACAGATAATAAAAGGCAGAGGAATATATGATGTTATTGATATTTCTCTCTTGTATTTCTTCTTCATCTCTCATCTGTTACATGCGAGTGCTCTATTTATAGAGCAACTCGAACTGATGCAGTTAATGCATCATGAAATTTAAAATGTGCCTCTGACACTTTCATTCAGCATGGGCATTGAAAACTTTGCCCATGCAGATGACTTTAGCTTTGTGGGTGCAGATGACTTTAGCTTTGTGGGTGCAGATGACTTTAGCTTTGTGGGCATTCATTGCCAACAGAAGTTTGAGACTTTTCAACACTCCCCCTTGGATGCCCACATATCAACATGAGTTGCCTCGTTAAAACCTTGCTTGGAAAAACCCAGTGGGAAAAAACCATAGCGAAGGAAAAAGAGTACAACTTTTCCTGGATCGTTGATATAGTGTCAAGTATGCTTATGTTGCCTCGTTAAAACCTTGATAGGAAAAACCCAGTGGGAAAAATCCTAATCGAAGGAAAAAGAGTACAACAAGCATGTATCATGGATACTCCCCCTGATATGTTTCTCCTCCTGATTCCGCATTTTCCAAATTTAGCTGTTTGGTAAGTCGACGTAATCCGATGCCTTGCACTAACTTCTGAAATGTGCACTTTGGTAGAGATTTGGTGAACAAGTCTGCCAGATTTTCATTTGAACGGATTTGTCTGACTTCAATAACTTTAGCCTTCTGAAGCTCATGAGCACTGAAAAACTTTGGAGATATGTGTTTAGTCTTATCGCCCTTGATGAATCCTTCCTTCATTTGGGCGACACAGGCTGCATTATCTTCATGGATGACAATTGGATTGTCTGTCTTCGAAGTTAGACCACATGAATTCCGGATATGATGGATCATTGATCTTAACCAAGAACATTCACGACTTGCTTCATGTAAAGCAAGTATTTCTGAATGATTTGAAGATGTAGCAACTAATGTTTGCTTGGTTGAGCGCCATGAGATTGCTGTATCTCCATTCTTAAACACATATCCAGTTTGTGAGCGGGCTTTATGCGGATCAGAGAGGAAGCCAGCATCTGCATATCCAACAAGGACCTGGTCATCTGTGGAGTTCTTTGAGTAGAAGAGACCCATGTCTGTTGTCCCACGAAGGTATCGCAATACATCTTTGATACCCTTCCAATGACGAATTGTTGGAGCAGAGCTATACCTTGCTAACAAATTAACTGAAAAAGCTATATCTGGTCTAGTACATTGTGCTAAATACAACAAAGCACCTACTGCACTCAAATATGGTACTTCTGGACCAAGGACCAGCTCATCATCTTCTTTTGGACGAAATGGATCTTTCTTAATGTCCAAAGAACGAACAACCATTGGCGTGCTTAGTGGATAAGCCTTGTCCATACCAAATCGCTTCAGAATTTTTTCAATGTAAGCTGATTGGTGGACCAAAATTCCACTAGCACAATGCTCGATCTGCAAGCCGAGACAATATTTTGTTTTTCCAAGGTCTTTCATTTCAAACTCGCTTTTCAGATATTCAGCAGTTTTATTGAGTTCTTCAGGAGTCCCAACTAGATTCATATCATCAACATATACTGCCACTATAGCGAATCCAGAATTGGATTTCTTAATGAACACACAAGGGCAAATAACATTGTTGATATACCCTTCTTTGATCAAATACTCACTGAGACGATTATACCACATTCGTCCAGATTGCTTCAGACCATACAATGATCGCCTTAATTTGATCGAGAGCATACCTCGTGGTTTATTACTTGTTTTAGGCAACTTAAGTCCTTCTGGGACTTTCATATAGATGTCAGTATCTAATTCTCCATATAGATACGCAGTGATGACATCCATAAGTCGCATGTCAAGTCTTTCTGAAACCACTAAACTTATTAAGTAACGGAACGTAATTGCGTCCATTACAGGAGAGTATGTCTCCTCATAATCAATTCCAGGTCTTTGAGAAAAACCTTGTGCAACAAGTCGTGCTTTGTATCTTGCGATCTCGTTTTTCTCATTGCGTTTCCTTGTGAATACCCATTTGTAACCCACAGGGTTTACACTAGGCGGGGTTTGGACTACTGGTCCAAAAACATTCCGCTTTTCCAAGGAATTTAATTCTGCCTGGATTGCATCTTTCCACTTAGGCCAATCCTGTCTCTGTTTGCATTCATCAACAGAGCGGGGCTCAATATCATCACTTAAGATGATTTCAGTGGCTACTGCAAATGCAAACATATCATCAATGATTATTTCATTCCGATCCCACAATTCATTTGTACATGCATAATTTATGGAGATTTCTTTGCTTTCATGTACTTTTGTCTCTTCAGGGACAGATGTCTCATCAAGGACATTTTCTTTTTCTGGAAGTCCAGAATTATGAATTGTGGATGTATCATTCATTTTCTCTTCCTGAATGACTTCATTTGGATTCAGTTGTGCCCTCGACTTTCTCTTTCGAGGAGCTGAATCTTTTGAACCTGGGGGTCTACCACGCTTCAGGCGTGCACCAGATGAATCATTTGCTGCCACTTTATTTTGTCCAACAGGGACATCAATTCTTGCAGGTGCATTTGCAGCTGGTATATTTGATTTTGTCACTTTCATAGCATCATTAAATGCATCTGGCATTTGATTGGCAATGCTTTGAAGATGAACGATCCTTCTCACTTCATTTTCACATTGAATGTTGCGAGGATCAAAATGAGACAAGGTGGGAACAACCCATGTCAGCTCTTTCCGTTCTTCTGGAACGGTCTTTTCTCCCCCTAACAACGGGAAAATTGTCT